GGTAAAGTGCAGAATTTTTATTAGTTTTCTTTTCGCTCATTGGTTTGTTTCTTTATGAAAAGAGTGTTAAACTTTTATCAGCTTAAAATAATGGGTTATAAGATGGTATTTGCAAGCCTCACTGTAACCTCAAACCAAAAAACATTAAAAATAGATACAGAAACTAAAAGCAAGAAACTAAGTAATATCACCAGAGAAAATCACCTTCAATAAAAGGAAGACAAGAAGGAAAGAAAGTTGGAAGAGAAGACCAGAAAACAAATAACAAACTGGCAGGTGTGAATCCTTACGTATCAATAATAACAGTAAATGTCAATGGACTAAACTCTCCAATCAAAACACACAGAGTGATTGAATGGATTTAAAAAAGAAAGAAAGAAAAATACCCATTGATCTGTCACCTACAAACACACACACACACACACACATTTACCTATAAAGATACACATAGACAGAAAAATAAAGGGATGAAAAAATCTATTCCATGCCATTAGAAACCAAAAATGAGCAGGAGTAGTCACACTTATTTCAGACAAAATAGATTTCAAGACAAAAACCATAAGAAGAGACAAAGTAGGTCATTATATAATAATGATAAAGGGGTCAATTCAGCAAGAGGACATAACAATAGTAAATATACATGCACCAAACACTGGAGCACCCAGATATATAAAGCAAATATTATTAGCGTTAAAGAGAGATAGACTCCAATACAGTAATAGCCAGAGACATCAATGCCACATTTTTAGCACTGGACAGGAAATCAACAAGGAAATATATTACTCAATCTGCCCCATAAAACAAATGGATCTAATAGATATTTATGGAATATGTCATCCAATGGCTGCAGAATACACATTCTTTTTCTCAGCACATGGATCATTCTAAAATATAGATCATACGTTAGGTCATTAAAAAAGTCATAAAACATTCAAAAAAACTGAAATACTATCAAGGGTCTTCTCTAAAAACAATGGGATAAAACTACAAATCAGTGACAGGAGGAATTTTGGAAACTATACAAATGCATGGACATTAAACAATATGATCCTGAATAACCAGTGGATCAATGAAGAAATTAAGAAGGGAATTGAAAAATTTCTTGAAACAAATGATAATGGAAACACAACATACTGAAAGTTTTGGGACACAGCAAAAGCGGTACAAAAAGGGAAATTTATAGCCAGAAACATCAAAAAAGTATAAAAATTCAAACAGACAACATAACAATGAATCTTAAAGAACTGGAAAAGCAAGAGCACACCAAACCCAAAATTAGTAGAAGAAATAATAAAGATCAGAGCAGAAATAAATGAAATTGAAATGAAGAAAACAAAAGATCTTTGAAGCAAAAAGTTGACTTCTTGAAAAGTTAAACAAAATTGACAAACCTTTAGCCAGACTAAGAAAAAAAGAGAGAAGATTCAAATAAATAAAATCAGAGATGAAAAAGGTGATATTAAAACTGATACCTCAGAAAGCAAAGGATAATTAGTGGCTAGTGTGAGTAACTATATGGCAATTAATTGGAAAATATAGAAGAAATTGCCAAAATGCTAGACACATACAACCTACCAAAATTAAACCATGATGAAATCCAAAACCCAAACAGACCAAAAAAACAAAAAACAAAAAAATATCCCAATAAGGAAAGCTCAGGACCCAATGGCTTCACTGCTGAATTCTACCAAATGTTTAAAGGAGAACTGATACCAATTCTACTGAAACTATTATAGAGAACAGAATACTTCCAAATTCATTCTACAAAGCCAGTATTCCCTGATGTCAAAACCAGACAAAATTCATCAAAAAAAAAAAAGAAAACTACAGGCCAATATCTCTGATAAATATTAATGCAAAAATATTCAACAAAATACTAGCAAACCGAATTCAATAATATATTAAAAAGATCATTCATCATAACCAAATGAGATTTATTCCAGGGATGCAAGAATGACTCAACATATAAAAAATCAATCAATGTGATACATCATATCATCAGAATGAAAGACAAAACTATATGATTATTTCAACTGAGGCTGAGCAAGCATTTGATAAAGTTCAACATTCCTTCATGATAAAAACTCACAAAAAAAAACTGGGAATAGGAGAAATATACCTCAACATAATAAAAGCCACATGTAACAGACCCACAGCTAGTATCATATGAATGGAAAAAAAAATGAAATGAAAGCCTTTCCTCTAAGATCAGGAACACAAGAATGCCCGCTTTCAGTACTATTCAACGTAGTACTGAAAGTCTTAGCCAGAATGATCAGACAAGAGAAAAAAATAAAGGTTATCAAATTGAAATGGAAGAAGTGAAATTATCCTTGTTTGCAGATGATATGATCTTATATTTGGAAAAACCTAAAGACTCTACCAAAATACTATGAGAACTGATAAATAAATTCAGTAAAGTTGCAGGATATAAAATTAACATACACAAATCAGTAACATTTCTTTATGCCAACAGTGAACAATCTGAAAAAGAAATTTAAAAAGTAATCCCATTTACAATAGCCAAACATAAAATTAAATATTTAGGAATTAGCCAAAGAAGTGAAAGATCTGTATAATGAAAACTATAAAACATTGATGAAATGAATTGGACACCAAGAAATGGAAAGAAATCCCATGTTCATGGATTTGAAGAATCAATATTGTTCAAATGTCCACACTACCCAAAGCAATCTACAGATTTAATATAATCCCTATTCACATACCAATGACATTCTTCACAGAAATAGAAAAAACAATCCTAAAATTTATATGAAACCACAAAAGACCCAGACGAGCCAAAGCTATCCTGAGCACAAGGAACAAAACTGTAGGAATCACACTAGCTAACTTCAAATTATACTACAGAGCTATGGTAACCACAACATGGTACTGGCATAAAAACAGACACATAGACCAATGGAACAGAATAGAAAACCCAGAAACAAATCCATACACCTACAGTGAATACATTTTCAACAAAGGTGCCAAAAGCATACATTACAGAAAAGACAGTCTCTTCAATAAATTGTGCTGGGAAAACTGGATAACCATATGCAGAAGAATGAATTGTATCTATATCTCTTGTGTTATATAAAAATCTAAGATTAAAGCTTAAATCTAAAACCTCAAACTATGAATGTACTACAGTAAAACACTGGGGAAATTCTCCAGGACGTTGTTCTGGGCAAAAATTTGAGTAATACCTCACAAGCACAGGCAATCAAAGCAAAAATGGATAAAGAGGATCACATCAAGTTTAAAAGTTTCTGTATATAGAAAAGGAAACAAGCAATAAAGTGAAGAGACAACCTACAGAATGAGAGGAAATATTTACAAACTACCCATCTGACAAGAGATTAATAACCAGAATATATAAGGAGCTCAAACAACTCTACAGGAAAAAATTCTAATAATCTGATTAAAAATAGGCAAGAGATTTGAACAAACATTTCTCAAAAGACACAAATGGCAAACAGGCATATGAAAAGGTGTTCAATATCATTGATCATCAGAGAAATGCAAATCAAAACTTAACTAGGGTAAGATATCATCTTACCCCAGTTGGTGGGAATGTAAATTAGTAAAATCACTTTGGAAAACAGTTCTGAGATTCCTCAAAAACCTGAAAATTGAGCTACCATGCAATCCCATTGCTAGGTACATATGCAAAAGAAAGGAAATCAGTCTATCAAGGAGATACCTGTATTCCCATATTTGTTGTAGCACTGTTCACCATAGCCAAAATGTGGAAGCAATCTAAGTGTCCATCAGTAGATGAATGCATAAAGAAAATGTGATACCTATACATAATGGAGCACTCTCCAGCCATAAAGAAAGAATGAGATTCTATTATTTGCAACAACATGGATGGAATTGGAGGTCAATATGTTAAGTGAAATAAGCCAGGCACAGAAAGATAAACATCACTTGTTCTCACTATTTGTGAGATCTAAAAATCAAAACAATTGAACTCATGGAGATAGAGAGTAGACTGATGGTTACCAGAGGTTGGGAAGGGTAGTGAGGGGAGGGGAGGAAGTGGGGATGGTTAATGGGTACGAAAAAGTAGTTAGAATGAGTGAATAAGACCTAGTATTTGATAGCATACCAGGTTGACTATAGTCAATAATAATTTAACTGTACATTTTAAAATAACTGAAAGAGTATAATTGGATTGTTTGTAATACAAAGGATGAATGCTTGAGGGGATGGATAGCCAATTTTCTATGATGTGATTTTTACTCATTGCATGGCTGTACCAAATATCTCATGTACCCCATGTATACACCTATGTACTCATAAAAACTAAAAAAAAAAAACAAAAAAAACTACAACACAGGAAAATCTGCCAGATTGCCACTGCCTGTCTGTTTCAACTGAAGATGTTTCTAACCCAAATCTGTGCATCTTCTCAACTGACTGCCCTCCAGACTCTAAAGAAACTAATTTTTAGGCTGTTCCAAATGTTAACGTTATTTTTCCTCTGTTTTCATAGAAATGTCTCTTATCAAAGACGTTTGGCCTAACTTTGAGAGCCCAACTGCAATGCCACCTGTTGCAATGGGAAACAAGTTTAACTGATGTAGTATCACAACTAAGAGATGGATTCAAGAAGATATGCCATGACATACTTATATTTGTTCTTTTCTGCTTATCACAATTTGTTTTCCTCCCTCTTATCTCAAAACTTCTAACCCAAATCTCTCCATAGCTACTAATCCTACTTTAATAAGTGAAACTTTTTTTTTTTCCTGAGACAGGGTCTCTCTCTCTCTGTGTCACTCAGGATAGAGTGGCACAACCTCAGCTCACTGCAACCTCCCCTTCAAGGCTTAAGTGATCTTCCCACCTCAACCTCCTGAATAGCTGGGACTACAGGCACATGCCACCGTGCCTAGCTAATTATTATTATTTTTTCTGTAGAGATGGGCTTTTCCATATTTCCCAGGCTGATCTCAAACTCCTGGGCTCAAGTGATCCACCCGCCTCAGCCTCCTAAAGTGTTGGAATTACAGGCGTGAGCCACTGCGCCCAAACGTTAGTAAGTGAAACTTTCTAAAGTTTCAAGTCGGGGACTAAAGGAAACCAAAAAATGTTTCACTCCAAAATATACTTCTTTGACATATTTTGAGATGACTACTCAGAGAGCCTGCAATACAAGAATCAGCCTGCAAAGCTGAGTCTTTCACGGGGATTTGCATATGTAGAGGAAATAAAGTGAAGTAAACAACAGATGCAAACAGGCTTTTTCTGAAGCCCTACCTTGCCCAGAATAAGGAAAGATTGAGAGCCTGACACCTTCAAAGGTTTTATAGAAACATCTACCACAGGCTCCCATCTCTTTTTTTTTTTTTTTTGAGATGGAGTCTTGCTAGTCGCCCAGGCTAGAGTGCAGTGGCATGATCTCAGCTCACTGCAACCTCCCCCTCCCGGGTTCAAGCTATTCTGCTGCCTCAGCCTCCAAAGTAGCTGGGACTATAGGCACCCGCTACCACACCCAGCTAATTTTGTATTTTTAGTAGAGACGGGGTTTCACCATGTTGTCCAGGCTGGTCTCGAACTCCTGACCTCAGGTGATCCACTTGCCTTGGTCTCCCAAAGTGCTGGGATTACAGGTGTGAGCCGGCCTCCCATCTCTCCTTTCTGAGGGTTGCTACCTGTGAGATCATCTGCATAACAAGACCACCTTTGCCGCACACCTTGCCTCTTCTTTCCCTCCCATAACCTCTCATGCCACCATAACCTGTCTTGACAAGCTTCAAGTCCCTATTCTTTCTGTAACATCAAGATAGTATGAAAAGAGTTGTGAATGGAAAATAAAATTTTGGGACCCCATATTCTCCATACCTAAGGGAAAAAGTCAAGCTTGAGAACTGAGTCACACAAAACTGCCTCCCATTTTGTTCCTCAACAGCTACAAAGATGAAAGACTACCTACATACCTCCCTCCCAATTTGCTCACAAGGAAATTTTTTGTGGGCCCCCAAGATCCTTACCCTAAAACAGTTCTGTTGAATTTCACCCTGACAATAACTAATAATTTATCTTCAGAGGAACGGGACAAAGGATAGAACCAGAAGTCATACCTCTGATCACCTAAGACAGATGCGTATTTGGCTGCTTCCTCTATTCTGTTTACTTATCTTATGTAAAAATGTAGATTCACTGAGCATGAGACAAATGCCTCTACCCTCTCCTTTCACATGCAAAGTTTGGATCCACTGAACGCTGATTAAACCTTGAGAAGATTGCAATTCCTTGCCTCTTTCATCTACCGTTCTTTTCTCTCCTGCCCATGTTTTCCCCTTTAAATACGGAAGCACTCAAAATCCTCTTTGGAAAAAAAGTGTGAGCCACAGATTCTATTGTGGCTAGTGTCTTTTTTGCCTAGGTGTATCATCAACCTTGGCAAAATAACTCTAAATTGATTAAGACCTGTCTCAGATACTTTTTGGTTTACAGCATCAGCTGTCTGGACATTTCTTTGAGTTTTTCATATTTTGTATGACTCCCAATATGCACAATATTAAATCTGTATGCCTTTTTTCCTGTTAATCTATGGTCAGTTTGTTTTACAGACTCAAATTATCAAAGCTTCAGTGAAAAACAATTAAACTTTTATACACTTTGCATATATAAAATAATTTATAATTTTCCAAGTCTTCAGCTATGTACACCTATGGTCACAGTAGCATTATTCACAATAGCTAAAGACAGAAGCAACGTAAGTGTCCATCAGCGGATGAACAAACAAAATGTCATCGATACGTGCAATGGGATATTATTCAGCCTTAACAAGGAAGGAAAGGTGATAAATGCTTGAGGCAATAAGATACCCAAATTACCCTGATTTGATCATTACACATTGAATGCTTGTATCAAAATATCACATGTACCCCATAAATATGTACAATATTATGTATCCATAATTAAAAATAATTTTTAAAAATGAAGGAAATTCTGATACATACTACAACATGGATGAACCTTGAGGACATTATGCCAAGTGAAATAAGCCAGGCACAAAAGGACAATTGTCATATGATTCCACTTATAGGAGGTACTTCAAATAGTCAAAATCATAGAAACAGAAAGTAGAATGGTGGTTGCCAGGGACTGGCGAGGAGAGAATGTGGAGTTACTGTTTAATGGGTCAAATTTCAGTTTGGGAAGATAAAAAATTTCTGGAGATGGAGAGTGATTATGATTGTACAACAAAGTGAATATACTTAATGCCACCGAACTGTACACTAAAAAATTCGTTAAAATGGTAAATTTTATATATTTTGCAATTTTTAAGGGTTTAATTTTTTAAATTATTATTACATAAATGTCCATCAATAGCGGATCAATAACAGAAATTTTAGAACTCGTACAACGAAACACCACAGAATGAAAAATAATGAAAGAGAAATCCACATGTGCTGGTATGGAATGCTTGCCAAGGTCACACACATACACACCCCACCCCAAGGTGATGAACAGAGGGGATGGAATGCCTCCATTCACGTTACATAGACTATATCTGGAAAAGACTCAAGAAACTGCTAACCGCGATCAATTGCCACTGGGCACGGGGACATGGAAGCATGGAGTTCAGCGGTGAGTTCGGGACTTATGTATTCCAAAAAAAAAAAAAAATCAATTCTTTTTGAAAACATCAAGCTTCTAAATTATCCATAGTACTGAGAGAGAGGAATAAAGAAGAAATAACTAGATCCACCCCTAATGCCCCAATTACGGGGATCTGAATTTCAAGAGATCAAGTGACAAGCCAAGGAACACACTGGTGACAGAACTGAGACCAGTTACCCAGTATGTACTCTTTCTGAATGTTTGAAATATTTAATAAAAATACTTTTTTAAAAAAAAAGTCTCTTTCTTCATTGCTAGCTTATTAAAGCAGAAAATATTGTTTCCCCCAAAAATAAACTATGTTTGGGAAAACTTTAATATTTTATAGTTTAATTTTTATGTCAGCAAGATTTCCATGTTTGGTAACATCTGCTGCTGTATATAATTGTGTTTTAAACTTTTCAAGTCTTCTTTGATGAAAGATTTTTCTAGTCCTTCACTTCCTGGTTGGGGCTTTCATTGACCATTATTTTAATTTCCATGTTTGCTGTTGTTCACATAACCAAATATGTAGAGAATAGATTTTTTTAAACAAAATAGACATTTTTAAATAATCACAAAAAATGAGACATTCACACATGCCTGTGCAAATGTATCTATACATACATATATATGGATCCTGATTTCCAATTCAACACTTTCCCACTCTGTCATCCTTTAGCAGCTTAAGCTGTAAAAACAGTCCTCAGTATCTCTTAAAGACATGACTTCTTTGTTTTATTTACAGATTAAAACTCCGCAAATCCTCCACAAGGTGGTTTTCAACCAAACATCCTGCTTTAAAGTTAGTTCACCAACCACAAACTGTTAACTGTAAAATCTAGAGAGTCCACAAGGTGGCACTAGATACCGTTGGTCAAAGTCTGTAACCTAGTAAGGTGTAAGGATTTCTAGAAAACAGGGTTAGAGAGGTGCCTCTGGCATCAGCAAAGATGAAAAATTGAAGCTAATATGAAAGACATCTTGTTCCTGTCTAGAGAGATAACTTCCAGCCAAAACACATTTGAAGTTCTAATTACATACTTTAAAGATTTATCCAAAATGCCAAGCCTAAGCTATAGACTGCCTGTGGTGGAGTGTATTTCTTCCAGGGGCAAATTTACATCTGTTCCTTTGGACACACTTCATTACTAGCATTTGATCATCTTAAAACGTATTTCCATTAACTCCCTCCTAGTATACATGCCCCCTAAATATACATACACACATACACACACAAACTTGAAGATAAAAACAATGAAATGTATTTTTAGGGGATTTTTTTGGTAAGAACTCATAATCAGATCCCTTTAAAATAATATTCACATTATACAATAGCTATCTGTCTTCATCTTTTTGTAATTCTTAATTTTCAAGTTATGAAGATCCCACAATTAAGAATAAAACTTGGTGGTTTAAGCCTCAACTCAGATAAAAATCTTAAAACTCATCACAAAAAAGATCTATTTCTGATCTTTATAATCGTCTATAAATTTATCATAGACTGGGAGACTTTATCACTAGCCTTTTAAGAAATTATAAAGGATAACACCCAGCATTTCATCTTGAATAGATTTTCAGCCAATGAATGAGCCTCAGAAATGCCTTTAAAAAGGCTGAAAATCTGAAATCATTTAAGACTTTTTTGGTGCATATTATCGTGGCTTTTTTTAAGCTAAGAATCTCCTGGAGATGATTTAATAAAATGAGCTGATGCCCTGAGTACTTTACAACACACGAATTCAATGTGATCTATTCACTTCATTCAGAAACATTTTTTTTGTGTGCAGACCCAAGAATTTTTCCCACAACAGTAAGGGTATGTGTCTTGCATCCTGATGAATCAAAGCATAACAGCATCTTACAGCCTATAATCTACTTTTTTGAATGAGCATTTAAATTCAAAAGTACACTGTATACAGAAAACCAGGCTGTGTAAAGGACCACATCTCAATTACGTTGCGTATATAAATTGATTATATTTGTAAGAGTATTTTATATGTGAAACACCCAAAACACTAATGGGTATATGCTTTTTAATAACGTGTTTATTTCCAGCAGTGTTTATGGTACTAAGGCCAACTTTCTTAAAATTTGAAGGGAAAATAAATATTAAAATCTATCAACAAAATTGAGAACTCACTCCAGTTCCAGGCTAACTCCAGTGATGGCGAGAACAGGCAGTGTGAGCAGCTAGGCTGATTCTACTGCCAACCTAAAAGCTTACTGTACTTTGCATGATTTCCAGAAGAGCATGACAGATCGTGAGGAGACTGATGAATGGGGAACCCGCAGTCATGGAGAATCGGCATCAAAATAGTGTCTCAGTGTCGACAATTTACCTTCTTCCCTTGATCTTCAACTCATAACCAAACAATTTTCAGACAAGACTCAGAAACCATTTTATTAAATTGGAACACAAA